ACTTCTCTTTAGAAACTATATAAGCAAGAAGAGTGAAAGACAAAAGCAGGAACAAAGAACAAAGACATAGAATAGAAAATAGTAACAACTATGGTAGATGTTAATTCAAGTATATCAATAATCACTTTAAATATCAGTTAAGAGCCAGAGATTGTAAGAGTATATAAAAAAATAAGACCCAACTCCATGTTGTCTATAAGCCATCCACCTTCAATATAAAGACACATGTAGATTAAAAGCAAAGGGATGAAGAAAGATACGCCATGCTAACTCTAATCAAAAGAAAGCAAAAGTAACTATATTCATATATTAATTTCAGACAGAGCCAACTTTAAAGCAAGGAAAATTATCAGGGAAAAAGAGACGTGTCATAAGTGATAAGCAGTCAATTCTCCAAGAACATATAACAATCCTTAACGTGTATACACCTATTAACAGAGCACTAGACTACATAAGGCAAAACTGCAAGGAGAAATAGATGAATCTACTATTACAGTTGGAGGCTTCAACACCTCTCTGTCAGAAATGGACAGGTCTAGCAGGCATAAAGTCAAGTGAGGACATAGTTGAACTCAACACCATCAATCAACTGCATATAACTGATCTATAGACTACTTCATCCAACAACAGCAAAATACACATTTTTCCAAGCTCACATGGAACACCACCAAGATAGACCATATTCTGGGCTGTAAACTGAGACCAGAAAGATGAGTCAGAGTTAGTCAGGAAAAGAAGAGGGAAGGAAGTATCACAAGTAAGTGAAGAGGAACATGAAATGCCAAGACAAAAAACATGACATGATCTGAGGGACTTGGAGGACTGTAGCTTGGAATGACTGGAGCATAGATGGAGCTGAAAGTGGTAACCAAAGCCAAATCATGAAGGGCTCAGAATGTGAATTAAGGAGTTTGGGGTTGATTTTGAGGCTATTTTGTCACATCGAACAGTTGTGGGAAGTGAGAAAAAATAATTAGGGGTGGTCAGGATAGGAGAAGGGGATACACATTGGGAGACTTTTGTGATAATCTATGCTATAGAGGGTGGTGACCTGATTTAAGGTAATGGCAGAGGAGAAGTGAGAATGAATAGATCCTAGAGTTATTTAAAAAATATAACCAACAGGACATGATGCAAGGAAAGGGAAGAGTCTTAGATTGTGGCCTGGGTTTCTGGCCTCAAACAGGGAGTGATGAACCTGAGTGCACAAGAGGAAGAGCAAATCTGATTTGGGGTGGGGAGATGCATGAGTTGGGATAGGCAAGTGGAGCTAGTGGTGATTACGTATGGACCTGAAGCTCAGCTGAGAGATCTAGGATGGAGAGAAAAATAGCTCTGGGAGTCCTGTTATATAGATCATATTTTAAGCTATTAAGTGGAAAAAGTCACCCAGGAGGCAGGTCTAGAGTGTTGACAGAAGAAAGCCTAGGACTGGTAGATTCCTCTGAAGAACATTATTCAAGGGATGGCTAGAGGAAGGAGACTTGAGAAAGGACGTTCAAAAAGAGTAACTGCAGAGGCAAGAGGGTTTGGTGTCATGGAAGCCAAGGGAATAAAATATACCACAAAGAAGAGGATATCAGTAGTGTCAAAATACTGCCAAGAAGTCAATAAGGTAAGGATGATGTGTTCTTCACATTTACTAAGAAGGGAGTCATTAATGAGCTCTGTTGAGAACAGACTCCACGCAGTGAAGGAGTGACTGAGAGAGATGAGGACGTATTGACAGCCCTTTTAAGAAGTTTGGCTGTGAAGGAGACAAGATAAAGAGAATAAGCCATGTGAGGAAAATGAGGTGTGTGTTACTTTTCATTTCCTCCAAGAGACTAAGCTGTCTATTTTCTTCTGGTTTGTGACAACGGCTTTTGTGTCCTTCCTTGTTTTTTGTGACCTTGATTGACAATTTTGGGGAGTCCTGGTCAAGTACTTTGTAGACTGTTCTTCAGTTTGGGTTCATTTCATGTTGGAAATTCAGGGAGGGGGAACAGTCAAAAAGTTCTTAGTTCTTAGAGAGGTAAAGAGAGGTAGGAGCCTGAACAGAGGTGGCAAAAATACATGGACAGGAGGAGGTGGTCTTTTCATTGTGACCAAATGGAAGGAGGGTATAGGTATAGATAAGTGTGTTGATTTGGAAGCAAGAAGTTAAGGGGTTTCTTTCTTTTGTGGTGGCTTTTGATTTCTCCCAAGTGAAGTCAGCTGTTGAGAGGAAGGTGAGGTGACCCATGGTAAAGACCATAATTTGGGAAGAATAGAAAAGATTTAAAACACCTATTGTGGAGAAATGGAAAGAACGCATCATAATCACCATGGTTTATTGAGACCCCAATGAGATTATGCTTTGAATTAATAATGACAACTACTTTCCCAGGTGAATTTTTTCCAGTAGTGCTTACTGGTACAGGGATAGGCATGAAGAAGATAATTTTTTAATTAAACTTTTAATTTAAGAATAATTTTAGATTTACAGACAATTTGCAAAGATAGTACAGACAGTTCCCAATACCCCTCAGTGTTCCCTCCCTGGTTAACTTCTTACATTATCATGGTACATTTGTCAAAACTAAGAAACTGATCCTAGTACATTTTTGTTAACTATAGTAAACTTCAGACTTTACTTCACCATTTTTTCGTGAATGTATTTTTTCTGTTTTCAGATCCAATTCTGGATTTCACATTGCATTCGCTGTATTTTCTTATTCTCTTCCGGTTTGTGACAACGGCTTTTGTGTCTTTCCTTGTTTTTTGTGACCTTGATTGACAGTTTTGGGGAGTACTGATCAAATACTTTGTAGGCTATTCTTCAGTTTGGGTTAATTTCATGTTTTCCCTCATGATTAAACTGGGATTGTGAGCTATTGGGAAGAATACCACACAGGTGAAGTTCCAGTCTAGATTCGTGTGCCTTTCTCCTGTCTCTCTCCTCACCATTGAGGCACACATGCACACACACACTTATTTATGTATTTATTTATCCTACTGAATCATTTGAGAACAGTTGCAGATGTCATGACATGTTAATATTTTAGAATATCTCTTAAGACCAGATTTTCTTTTTTACAAAATCACAAAATGGTTTTTCTCCTTAGGAAATTGAGTGTTCTTGTCTAATATATAGTTCATATTCAGATTTCCCTAATATACCAGTAGTGTCTTTTTTTAGCTTTTTTTTTCTGGGATTCAGAATTCAACAAAGGGTCGCATGTTATATTTAGTTGTGGAGAGTAGTTGTTTTGCAGAATTTCCCTCAGCTTTCATTGTGTGATTGAGTCTTCCTGATTAGACTCAGATTAATATTTTTTTGGCAAGAAAATTCTACTTGTGGTATGTCCTTACCAGTGCATCATATCACTTGTCCCACCACTGGTGATGCTTACTTTGCTTACTTGGTTAAGGTGGTGACTTCTGGGTTTCTCTATTGCAAAGGGACATTTTAATCTTTGTAATTAATAGCCTTTGGGGTTATATTGAGAAGATGTGACTATTTTGTTCCCCAGCAGTCTTTCACCAAGGGGTTTAAGAATCCCCTAATGACTCTTGCTTGAATCAGTTATTATTTTGGGGGTTGCAAAAATGGTGATTTTTAAAATTCTATACTTCCTTTTCCATTTATTACTTGGCGTTCTGCATGATAACACTGAAGGCCACTGAGCAGCAATAATTGTCACATAAATACATTTTGTTTTGCTCTTAAAGTGTTAAGCTCCCCCCAAAATGTGTATTATCTGAGTATATTTCCATAGGAAATTTTCAGAGGTATATTTTCGTAGTCAAAATAAATCTCTGTAGCCTTATAAAATGCATATTGAAGAAAGGACATCTCCTAGCGGATGTTTTTGGGTTAAAAAAATAAAAAGAGGGCAGCCCCCTTGGGTCCCTTCCCACTGTGGGAGCTTTTCTGTTCTTTCAATAAATCCTGCTTTCTAAAAAAAAAAAAAGAAAAAGAAAAAAAGAAATGACATTTCATATATTTAACAGTTGAAAAGCCTTTTAATAAAATGTAAACGATATACAATACTGAAAATGCAGTATTGTATAGTATTATAAACTGGTGATAAAGGATTATTTAGGACTTTTTTTGTAACTCTGACTGAATTTAACTATAATTTCTGATGTGTTTGATATGGGTGCTGACATCATGAACGTTTACCATTTCATCTTCAATGTCATGTCAGATCACTAACCCTTTGGGCCTTTGCTTTCTCATTTGTCAGTTGAAGAGTTAAACAGATTATAAAATCCTTTCAAGTTTTTAATGTTGAATGGTTAAAACATTTACTATGAATTGGAATTCATACACCCTTTGACTAAAGAGATTATTGTTCTGGTTACTTTGTTTATACTCACCCAAATAAAAGTAGTAATTGAAAGGCCAAAGAGAGTAGGAAAAAGTAAAACAAAATATGGACAAAAACCATGAAACAAAACAATAGATGATGGTAATCTGTTTCCTTCTTAGGAGTATATGCTCTAGGAGTCTCTTTCTCTCTCTCTCTTTTTTTTTCCATGCAAGAAGATTTTCTTTTTAATGAAGACTTCCCTTGAAAAACAGAATCAGAAATATCTTTGTAAACTAGCAAGGGAGAAGAGTTTAATAACCCACTAGCTCAAGGTTCTTTTCTGTCCAATCCTTCAACTGTTCCCAGCTAGATCCTGATGGGAATCTGAAAGTAGTCCTGGAAGAGAGGATCAATTTCTATCCCTAGGGACTCAAGGGGAATTTATTCTGCATTATTTCATATTTCAGTTGTCTCTTTAGCTTCTATGCCCCTGGAGGACTAGAAAACTGGCTCTCTACTTATAATTTCTTCTTAAATTAAGAAGTCAATGAAGGCATTTTGTGCTTGAGCTTTCTGTCTCTGTGAAGAATGAAGTAGTGGGAGAGTAGGGAAGGGGCTGGCTTATTCTTCTGGGTAGCAGTGTACATTAGGAGAAAGGCCAAGGAAGAAAAGCTCATTACACCTTTATGTTTTGATTTTTAAACTTTCTATTTAATAATCTAGAGTCTCTTACAACACGTGAGTCGTCTCTCACTAAGACTGAGTGGCAAAAGAAACTGACCCCAGAGCAATTCTACGTCACCAGAGAAAAAGGAACAGAACCGGTAAGCTAACTTGTTGTACAGTTTTCTGATCGGATGCATTGGGGTGAGGGGGAAATTAGAGTAGATCCAGCTATAAGACCTAACTCCTCACCATCTGCTCAATAAACTTGGTTGTCCTCCTCCTTTGTTCCCCTTCTCAGGGGGTCAATATCCATTCAGTTGTAGAAATTGGAAACCTTCCCCTGGACACATCTCTCCTGGACACAGGGCTTTCTGTCTCCATCGCTTCTGTTCTGCCTCCTAAATAACTTTCCAGTCATTTCACTTCCCTCCACTGCTCTTGCCTCCCCACTGGATCAGATCACTGCCACCTCCCCTGTGCATGGTCATCTTGCTCCTGGCCAAGCCATTCTCCACGCTGCATCCAAAGAGGGCTCTGGAAAACACGAATCTGACCACATCATCCCCCAGTTCAGAATCCTTCAGTGACTGATCACTGCTTCCAAGGAAAAAGAAAAGTATTAAGTGGCTAGAACAGTCTAAAAAGCTCTGGCCTCTGCCTCCCACCCCCATCTCAAATCCAGACGTCTTCCCTCTTGACTCTGCACTTGGACCACGCCATCCTTTGTGCTCTCACACACCTGGTTTCCCTTCTTTATAAGGCCCTTGCCACAGGTCCCTTCTCCTCTCCCGTTACCTCTCCCCTTAATTAATTCAGGCCTACCTTGTTGCTCTCAGCCCAAATCTCACTTTCTCAGAGAAGGCTTTTTCTAGCAAGTTGTTTTCACCAGTACTCTTTCTTCTTGGCATTTGCCATTGCTGGCATCGAAGGTGGTGCCCGGCTATAGAAGGCACTCAGAAAATGTTTCCGTGAATGTTGACTGACCACGGGCTAAGAGACGGAAACATTGCTTAAACTGTATTCAACAATCTCAACTTTCATTCATTTCTTGAGATAACAGCCCTCAGCAGTTCCTCATTGTAACACCATTTTTTTTTACAGTGCTGAATTTCTTTTTTTTATTATTTATGCAAGTTTATAGGGTACATGAAAAAATTTGTATATATTACATATAATGTGTATAATATACATTATATGTATTACATAATGATACATAATATACATGTATATAGTGTTAGTGACGAAGTCAAGGTGTTCAGGGTACCTATCACCTTAGTACAGTACATTTTTGTTAAGTATAGTCACCCTACTCTGCTATCAAGCATTGAATTTATACCTTGTATCTTAATATATGTTTGTACCCTTTCACCCACTTCTCTTCATTCTCCCCATTCCCCCAGCCCTAATCACCCTTTCCAGTCTCTGTTATCTATTTTTCTACTCTACCTCTATGTGATCTCATTTTTTAGCTCCCACATATGAGTAAGAATATAGCACTGCTTTTTTCTAGGTGGCGAGACCCAAGTATAGCCACTGGGATTTAGCTACTGAACTTCGTTATTAGATATTTTCAACTTCATTATTAGATATTTTCATTCGTGAAGCAGATCCCAAAAAGTGTATATCAGCATAGTGGCTTTGCAATACTTTTAGAATATTTATGTTTTTTCCTTTGTCAGGACCTGAAAAGTTCAGGTAGCCATCCATGTGTGCATGGCTTATAGTCATGGTCTCACACTTAGTTTCTCTGATGCTAAAGTCATCAGACACAGGCCAGCCAATCCTAATAGAGGCTCATGAAATGCTGGTATTTTTTTTAACTTCTTGTGGGTGGGATTTTAATAAAACCTTCACTGGGAAAGAGACTACATTAGCCATTATCTAATGGCACAAGGAAAGCACATGAGGGTCTGCGAGCAGTTGTGTGTATTCCCGGAATACTCTAAGCCATCCCTAATTCTCAGGTGCAGTGCCAGACAGGGTTTGGTACGTACACGGAGCCTAGAGATAAGCTGCCTGATGTTAGGAGAGTAAATCTATGGGCTTCTCAAGCAGATGGTGCAATATACTCTGTACATTTGGCCATTTTACAAAATGAGCATCATCCATTCTTTTAACTAATGTTTTAAGCCCCCTTTCATTGATCCATTTCCACATGTCACTTTTTAAAATATTGCAGAGCTATAATACTGTAAACTTTCATTTTCTTCATTTGGCAAAGGGAAGAGTGGTGAAACATTGAAGCCTTCTCTTTGGTGACTCCAAATTAAAATTCGCTCGCACTTTTTTTTTGTTAATGGGACATCAGTAACATGCTAGCATTTTGCTAGAACAGTGAAAGAACTTACAGGCAGATTGAGCAATAACTGAAAGTTAAATATCAATAAAAGGAAGGTTTGATGCAGATGGCTCTCTTCTGCCTTCCAGATCCACCTCCACAGATTTCCCCTGCTCTGAACCCTGGGAAGATTGACCAGCTTCCTTGTTCTCCAGCTACTTATTTAGTTTAACCAGTGGGAAACACCAACAAGACCAAAGGGTAGGATGGAGAAATCAATGAGGCCCGGGATCCCCTCTGTGGAGCTGCAGGTTGGCAGTGGTCGTGCCCCTCTGCTGCAGGTGGCAGCTCCTGCTGGCAGTCCTTGCCTGCAAGTGCAGCCTCACCAGGGTCTGGCTGCCATCCCCTTCCTTTTTCCCACAGGCCTGGTGGTGGTTGTGCCTTCTCACAGCCCACTGACGCAGCCTTGCTTCACCCTTCCTTGTTGGTTTCGTTTGGCCCTGTGCCCACCTTTGAGAAGAGTCCTGTATGAAATTATCAGCAGTCATCCCTATGAGTATGTTCCCAGCAGGAATACTGAGAAGATCTATCGGCCCAGACAGACCTTGATATCCCAGGAGAATCCTGAATGTCATTCCGTCTCTGACCCTGGCCTCTCCCTGTGCAGCCAATTATTTCAGTTCTCTCTTCTGAATCATTCTTGAACCTCTCCTCTTTCTTTCATTTCCACCACTGTTCCTGAGCAGGGACCCTCTCCAGGCCCACATGTGTGGCCGACGCCAGATTGCTCTCTGCCTTCAGTGGCTTCTTGCCCGCTCCAGTCATTCTTCACCCATGTCAAGTGAGCTTTCTGAAAACTAACTCCAACTGGGTGCACACCCAGTTTAAAAGTAGCTTCAGATTTCCAGGAGGACAGAGTTCAAGCTCTTTGGCACGGTCTGATCAAAGCCCTGATGGTCTGGCCCCTCCTGCCTCCCAGCATCATCTTTCTCCATGCTCCTTGTCCTCTCCCTCACTGGGCCTTGCCCAAGCATTCTGCCTGCTGGAAATACTCTTCCATTTCTTCATTCATTTAACCTCATTCACCCTTCAAGTTCCAGCTTAGTGTTTTGGCATTTTTCTATAATAAACAACAATCAGCTGTGCAATTAATAATAATAATGATGATGTTGTTAAGAAAAAAGACACCCCCCCATCTCAAACAACATCTGGTGCAGAAAGCCTTCATGGAAACTCCTTTAGTAGTGAAGGGTACAGCACTCCCCAAACTCTATGCCATCTCTATCACAGCTGTCACCACATGGTATAAATTGTCAGCTCATGTGTCTCTTCCCACTTAGGCATCAAATTCTTTGAGTGTAGGAGCTGTGGGTTTTTTTTTTCCCCCTCTATCTCTGTAACATTAGCACCTGGCTCAACCCTGGGTATGTACTAGATTATCAAGTAAAGACTAGAATGAACAAATGAGGTAAAAGCCGAGTTTGGTCCTAAGTAAGTAATAGGACTTGCATACAATGAGAAAGAGAAGAGGGCAACATCAAGAAGCCAGGAAGAGGAGTGTGGATAGATGTCATTTCATAAATGATGTTGGCTAAGGATTCCTTTTCATTTGAATTCTGTATTCAAAATTTTTAAAGTTATTGCTTACTGTGATAGCAGTCCACTGCCACTTCCTCTGCCCAGCTGCCCCTGCAATGATGGAATTATATTTTGACTCTTACCAGGCTGTCTGGATTTTAATAGGTTTTTCTAGATCAGCTTTAGGACTGGCAGCCATTTCACTGGCTGATGAGGCTGATGATGTGTGCCTCATCAGCCAGGTGGGAGGGATGGGAAGCCCTGTTCCTTACAGATGCTTGCCAGTTAGTGCCAGTGTTGGGAGCAGGCATTTGCGTGGACAGGCTTTAAAAGACCAGCTCACTACTGCATATTTCTGCAGCTAAGTTAGTTTGGGGTTTTTAAAGAGGGAAAACATCCAAGTGAGTCCGGATGGTCGGCTCAGTAGGCTAATTTGAAATTGTTCTGCAGCTCACTGAAAATATGCTGTTAACATTACACAGGGTATTTGGATGTTTGACCTGCAAATTGTTTGAGTTGGAAAGCCTGGAGAGGGTAAAAGAGTTCAGCTCATTTTCTGAGGCAACTTGGTCACTTGTGAACTGTTCTGTGCTCTGGCTTCTCCTGCAGCCCATAGGAAGGGGTAGTGCCTGCAACCAGGCACTGAGGTAGTGGACCTTCATAGTTAGCTTGTACAGGGCTTTCTTTTTCTTTAATTTTTTTTGACAGAGGAGATGACAAAAGGAATTGGGAAAAATTACCTTTTATTTATTTTTATTTGTTTATTTTTTGAGTCAGAGTCTTGCTCTGTTGCCCAGGTTGGAGTGCAATGGCATGATCATGGCTCACTGCAGCCTCAACCTCCTGGGTTGAGGTAGTTATTTATTGAGCTAATTATTTATATATTTATTTATTCTTGGAGAGATGTGGGGCGGGGGGGGTCTCACCTGTTGCCCAGGCTGGTCTCGAACTCCTGGCCTCAAGCAATCCTCCCATCTCAGCTTCCCAGAGCACTGAGGTTACAGGTGTGAGCCATAGGGCTCAGCCTTGCCTTTTTTTTTTTTTAAACAATGACATCTAGTTGCTAAATTACATTTTAAAAAATGGACTCACTTATTGCCTTAAGTCTCCTTGTGTTTCTCTTGGAATATCTCTGAAAACCTGCAAACTCTTTAAGCCACAATGAGCATAGTAATTTCATCTAAGTAGCAACCTAGGCACTGAGGGGACCTATCTCATTATTTAACATTTATTAAATGTGCAGTGTCTTAAATGTCGCATGATGCATATGAAAGGCACAACCCCTGAACTCACTGACCTATACTTTTCATGTATTTATATTCTATCTTTAATTGGAGATTTCAAAGTGTGTTAGACAGTGGACTAGATTCCTGTTGTATTAACTCTTTTGAAACAGCAACCAAAACCCTACGCAATCACAGAGGACAAGACTCTGCTCTCGCTTTCTCACGGACTTTGATATTCTTGGATGAAAGGTGCTACATGAATACAAAGCATTATTAATGTCATAATTTGAATATTTGGCACAGTAAAACCCGGACTGTAAGTAAGTCTGCAGGCTGCTTCGTTGGGTACATTATAATTTTCTCTCTAGTGATATTTGCACTTAGTCAAATTTAGTACAGAAATTCCTTGATTTGAGGACTTCTCTAGGATTGGAATCTGCTGTATCATCTCCTACTGGTAGTATGAGAAACCTGAGCATGACATATTGAATTTACTTTCAGCCTTTCAGTGGGATCTACCTGGATAACAAGGAGGCAGGGATGTATCACTGTGTGTGCTGTGACAGTCCACTCTTCAGGTAAGGTAAAGTCTCAAGTGCTGCAGGGGAGAACAGACCTTCAAATTCATGCAGCTCTTTCTCATTTGTGGCCTTGGGTAAATAAATACCCATTATAACTGTGTGTGTGCTTTTTTTTTTTTTTGAGTTGGAGTCTCACTCTGTGGCCCAGACTGGAGTGCAGTGGCCGCTCCTGGCCACCGCAGCCTCCACCTGCTGGGCTCCTGCGATCCTTCCGCCTCTGCCTTCCGAGTAGCTGGAACTACACGCCTTGCTAATTTTTTTGATTTATTGTAGAGATGAAGTCTCGCCAAGTTGCCCAGGTGGGTCTTGAACCCACGGGCTCAAGCAATCCACTCACCTCGGCCTTCCAAAGCGCAGGATTACAGGCTGAGCCACTGAGCCTGGCTTACCTATGTTTTTAAAAATCAGCCCTTCTCATTTGACATTGTTGCTATAACGAGAGCTGTTCATATAAGATACTTGCCTGTCTTGATTTTTTTCTCGAGTTTTAGAACCGGTAACATGACTTCTTAGCTCATATTTTTCCTTTCTGTATCCCTGAGAAGTAGTAAAAAATAAAACTTGGTGGGCACCTTACAACAAAGCTATTAGAATTTTTTAGAAGGAAATTCTTTAAGGAAATACATAATTATATTTGTTGGGCCGTGTGATTAAAACTATATCTCTTCCAGAGAAAATGGGTTTATAATCTAATTTAGGCAATGTAGAATTTTATGAGGATAGATTCCCCACAATGCTTGACAGTAGTGAATACCATGCCCTCTTCTATGTCGCTAAAAGTAAATTTAATTGTCCCTCAATTTCAAAGCCTCTTTTAAGTCAATCAGGATCTGAAATCTCTCCACAGAGGCTTTTTTGTTTAGACATGCAGGAAGCAGTCTTTTAAAAAGTAGATTCGATGAAGAAGAAAGGAAAATATCTTTGAAGTCCTGTTTTCAGAACTTCAAAGATGTTTTCCTTTCTTTTGCATCTACCCTAAATTGGTTTAGAATAAAATATAAATCAAGCCAGCTCTGCACATCGTCCATTAGACATTCTGTCTGTCCTCTGGGCTTTAGGTGTCCCAGGCTTAGGAAGCAAGGATTGCTAGCGAGGATGAGGAGCCGTGAGCATCAATTTTCCTCCACACTCACAGAAGGGCAGGCCTTTGCCCAGACGCATTCCCATTATCTAAGAGGGCGGTCAGCCCAGGATGGCATGGAGAAAACTGGAAGGAGGTTAATTTTTACACAGGAAAATGTGAGACCCATATTTCTGAGACATTAGTTATTCCTTGACCTTTGGCTCTGTTAAAGAAGAGAGGTGGGACTTGGGGATAGCCAGCAGACTTTCAGCCAAAGAACCATGTTGTCAGGGTGTCAACGACTGCCTCATCACTGTGCGGTCACCGGGCAGTGTTCGATGTTGGTCTTTGGACTGTGAAGACAAGATGAGAAGGCATCCTCGTAAGTGAATTGCAGGGCCCCCCACCTCCTTATTCCCTGCTCCAGCTGGACTGTGGACTTTCCTCCGCCCTGCACCGGCCTCTTGGGACTTTCCCACCCCATTGTATGCTAATTACAAGTTCCACTTATTCTTGGATCACAGATTTCTCCATGAAGATTGCTCTAATAGCACACACAGTGGTGATTTTGTTTTCTTCTTTAAATTCCTATTAATTTGCTAATACCGCATAATTTTGGACTTAATTGTTCTATTGGTCCACATGCTTTATTTAGTTGAGGGGATAAAACTGATAAGCTCCTTGAGTTCCTTAGCTATGTTATACTTCTTGGACATACCTCATGGAGATTGTTATGAGGGTTGAATTGTGTCTCTCAAAAAGATATGTTGATATTCTGGAAATGTTTATGAGAACCTACTCTGGAAATGTTTATGAGAACTGAGGCTTAGAATCTCTGAGTAACTTGCTCAAGGTTACATATCTAATAAGTGATTGCACTGGGATTCAGGCTCCAGTGCACCGAACAGTGCACCGTTCCTTAGAGAAGGAACCATGAAAGAGCAATGAAAGAGCTCTCTGGGCATGTGCTAGGCTTGGAACTCAAGCTTTTCATCAGACCTCTCATCAGCTCTCTGTAATGCCGTTATCTCCTTTCACGTGAGGAAACTGGGATTTAGGAAGATGAAATAACTTGCCCAGGGTTTTGCAGCTTACAGGTAGACAGCCAAAACATGAGCCTAGCTGGGCTCAGTGGCTCAGCCTGTAATCCCGTGCCTTTGGAAGGCTGAGGTGAGTAGATTGCCTGAGCCCGCGGGTTCGAGACCCACTTGAGTAACTTGGCGAGACCTCATCTCTACAATAAATCAAAAAATGAGCCGGGCGTAGTAGTGCGCACCTCTAGTTCCAGCTACTTGGAAGGCTGAGGCGGAAGGATCGCCAGAGTCCAGCAGGTCGACGCTGCGGTTGCCGGGAACGGTGACTGCCCTCCAGCCTGGGCGACAGAGTAAGACTCCAACTCAAAAAAACAAAAACAAAAAACATGAGCCTACAGTCCTCATACTCTAAAGCCCACACTATTAACTGAGCTCCCATAAGCCACATAGGCAGTGCTGTAGAACTAGGTGCCATCGCCCTCTGGTGCCAGCTTTCTGAATTACAGGCATAGGTCCCCCAGAAGACATAACTAGCCTCTAAAATGTATGCCCCGCTAGTTTAACCCACGAACTCCCTTTCCTGAGTCTTGTTCCCAGCCATACCTGCCAGATTTAGTGTTGCCTTATGATCCTATAGTGGTTGGAATGAATTTGGTGCACGATTTGCAGAGCTGCTGGCTCTCCAAATTAGAGACTTGTAATCAAAGGTATCCAGGTTAAGAACCCTTTTAAGAATGTTATCACACTCCAGACTGTCATTTCCTTAACTTGGAATTAAGTGACATTGCCCGTCTCCCCTGCTTCCTCTCCTCCTCCCCTCCTTCCTATTCTTTCTTCTCCCCTCTTAAACCTACTCTGGAAATGTTTATGAAAATCTAATGTGGGATATTTCATAGTCATAAATCTTCTTAAAATAGGAGAAAACAGAGTTCACTTTTTACATAATATCCTGATGTCCTATGTGTCACGAATAGCTAAGTAATACCATTTAAATACCTTTTGTGTAGTCACATCTCCCCAAATGAATGGAAATTCTTCTAAGAGGTTAGGGTTGTTGTCAGTTATCACCAAGATGCCTCTGTTGTTGGTTTGGGGCCTGTGGAATTTCCAGAAATGAAGGAAAACCAAAGTAAATAAATGTATAAAACAAAAGAAAAGCCTCTTACAGTATATGATTCAGAATGTTTTTCACTTTTATTTCTTTTTTTTTTTTTGGAAGTAGATTTCATTTCTTTTTTTATTTTAAGGATGTGGGATACAATCAGAGTTAGGTACCTAAGTGGTCATCATACAGGTGAAGTTTTGGCTTCTCACTGGTCCTCACTTCACCTCATTTGGGATCAGGTACCCTTATTAGTGTTATGTGCCACCCCCCATACCCCAACAGTGACCCGCTCAAGGACAAGCCTTGTAACATGGTAATCATTTAAATATGTATATTGGAACTTCTGATTAGCTTTAATATTTAGGTTCCTAGTCTTAAATTATGTCTGCTGGGTCTCTCATATTAGTAAAATCTCCAGATTCTGCTAATTGCATCAATAAAGGTTTATTGTTTCCCATAAACTACTTTAGAGAATTTTTATTAGTTTTAGATTTATTCATTTAAAAGATTTTATTATATTCATAACTCTCCATCAAAATTCTTTTAATGAGTACAGGTTTATATAATATTGTAAGTGGAAAGACTGTGATTAAAAGATACTTAGAATGTTTTTCTTAGAGCAGAGTAACCAGATGGATTTTTGAAACCCTTGGAAGAAGGTTGCAAAGAACTGAATGTGTGGGCCCTTCTAGTTGGACCCATGGTTGCTTACATTTCATGGATATCAGTTATTAACAATAAAATGATATTAAAGATAATCACTACTGACTTATGTATCATGTGTCAGGCACTATCTTAAACATACTATATACAAAAAGTGAGGCAATAATGCCATTGCTGTTGTTAACTTTAAAAAATCACTGTCTGTATCACATAAGCGGACCTTGAACAATTATCATAATACTATAAGAAAGGGGTTGGCAGTAGTGGAAAACTGCCAGAAGGTGAGGGAGTGAGATTGACAGTAATAGGAAACTGTCAGGGGAGGGGGCCACACCTCATCAGCATGGGTACCTGCATGATGAGCATTTGTATACGTAACCCTGAATTGTACCCCACATCTTTAAAATTAAAAAAAGTCACAGTCTGTAAATTTGGAAAAGGAGACTTTATTTCTTATAAATGGTTATAGACTATAAGGTGGCCATCCTGCAGGCTGGGAAGCACAACTTCCAGCCTCCAGCCAAGACCAGAGATAGGCACTTCATAGGAGGAGGGGTTGGGGTGGAAGCTTTATGTGAACAGGTTGGCTAAATATACATACTCAGCAGGTTATAAGAGGAGCTATGAATTTTCATGAAGTGGTTCTGATGCATGTGTTTTGAACAAACATACATATAACATGGGGTGGAGAGTTAACATTTACTCGTATTATAGTTAGGCCCTATATGTCAAAAGGTCTTTTCAGGACATGAAGGCATGCAAGTGCTCAGTCTATGCAAACTGCCAGGACCAGTCCATGGTCGATAGTCTTCTTAGGAGAAAGTTACTACAGTTAGTCTCCTGTCAAATCAAAGCTGTAGTTGTGGCTTGTGGAATAAGGCATCAGTCAGTGTGTGGTGAAACTATAGTTGCTTCAACACTTCTTATCTCGAGGCTAGTGCTTTTTTAGCTGTTACAAGAAGAAAAACCTCATGGCAGTTAGAACATAGTTTATGCTTTAATGTAGGGGTATGCGGCTTAACCCTTGCCTGGCATAGCCTTAAGTCCTATTTATAATTTAATATTTTATTGCTGCAAAGGGTCCGTTCTATCTTATGATTTCAGTTTTAACATTAATGCTGATCAGTTGTTG